CTTCCAGCCTTGGTGGCCAAACAATATGATAAACCAACTTTTTATATTAAATAACTCTGGATTTGAAACCTGCTATGGACACCCATTTTAACTGTTAATTATAATATCTCCATTTTCCATATCTTTCAAAAGAGGGAAATGCCAGAGATCATCATCATCATCATACCTCACATTGTACTCTATTTTAAGTACATTTTCATGGTATTGAAAAATTTCTACCACTTCACCTTTGAACCACTCTACCGTTTTTGAGACTGGGTCCCTACATTTATGTTTTATTTTTTTACCTACCAGTTTGTCAGGATCTGCTTTAAAAGATGGAAGCAACTGCTTCTGCTGTGAAATTAACACTTTTTTCCTATTTTCCTCAATTTTCCCATTAAGACTGATTTTTAATGTCATGACATCATTTTCAACCTGTACAGGTTCTTTATATATCAGTTTTGGCTCACTTGGCTCAGAAACCTCCTCTAAATTCAAGTTGATAACTTCAACGATATTACGCTGCAAATCTTCAAGTGAAAATTGTTTACCTTTATGTGACTGCTGGAAAAGCTCTTTTGAACCTTTACTGCCTAGCACTTGCTTTCTAAATTGTAACTGTGATAGTATACCTTCTTTCAGTTCTGTGTTTGAGTTGCATGATGCTTTGAATGTTTCAAAATCTTCAATTGTAATCCATAACCCACCAGTTTCTTGTATTTTTTGTGTTAGTTTTACTTTGTTTGAATGTTGTTTTTCTTCTTGCTTTGCCTTTTTTGCTTGCCTTTCTTTAAGAGTATTTAATTTTACCTCAAACAGTTTCTGTTGCCGCTCTTTCAGTTTTTTAGTCATGTCAGGAACATGCAATCTTGCATCGTCAAGAATTGACTGTTTCTTATCAGCCGGTAGGGAATTTAGCCAGTCAGATGTTTTGTTGTTCGTCCACATGATGATGGATTCAAATGTTGTTGTGGAGGCAGATGGCTTAGTCCTCATCAAAACATCTAACTGGGCAAAATCCCGTTCCGATACAGTATTTGTGGTTGGGACAGTTGACAGTTTGTCAATAGTGGCTGGTTCGAGATCCCAGTACTTACCTCCCGGCAACTGGTCCTTACACTGCCGTTCTAAGATTATCAGCATTGCTGAAAAACAGATCTCAAGAGCCATCTGAGTGTAAGTATCAAGCAATGCATCCTCTGCAGGAGCAATCAAAGACTCGTAAATACAGTCTTTGGTCACAGAAACTAGGTCCTCACTAAAAACACACTCACCTTCTAATACTGCTGATGCATCTTTTGACCAATTTTCCAAGTTAAGCTTTAACTGGTAGAGGTGTGTATTCAGAGACAGGGAGCTTGGCACTTTTTCAATAATTCTCCATAATGGACCAGTGACTAACTTGTCAATTAAACCCAAAGCTCGGGCACCCGCTAAGTATAAACATTCTCTAGTGTCAAACGATATGCTTCGCAAGAGTTCATTGGGTTCTGCCCACTTTTGTAAAAAATCACATATATCTGAAATGTGGTAGAACGTACAACCAGCAGCATAAAAAGGTGATTGAACCTGTGACCTCTGAATGTAATTAATTGATTTTTCATACCTTTGTCCTGCAGATAAGTTAAAAAATGACCACCAACACCAGATTTCTCACACCCATGGCTTGTAAAAGCTTTGCTGACTGTACGGACTAAACGTGAAGTACCGCTCTCAGCAGAGTGAAATGCATACGGATTTCGGCCTTCGGCAATGATGGTATCTTCCAAGTTTTTTAAACATTTGTCTGTTTCTGATGCCATGTTTACAAATATATGCATCTTACAAAAAAAAGAAAACAACTCACCAAGTTTCTGTTGATTTTCAGTGGATAAAGTATCCCAGTTTTCATAAGCAACAGGCAAAAGCCCTTGTCGAAATTCCTGAAATTTTTCTGTAAAAACATGGTTTACAGATCCTTGATCAGACATGGTAGCAATAATTGAAGTCACAAGTTTAGCCAGACATTCCCTTCTGTTACCATTTTTAATACAATCAACTAAATCTGACAGGAGAGTGGTAAATGTGTCAAACAATGTTAAAGCATCCCCTTTACCTACCTCAACAATACCTGCAGACAAAGTTATGCCATCACCAGTGACCTGAAAACTTTCAAAATGCTTATGAAATTTTGAGGTACCATCTTGATGTAAGGTAAAAGAACCATTCATTAATGCCTGGGCAACATGCTGGTTTGCAACACGTTTAGCCTCAAGCAAGAGTCTGCTTTTCACACCAGTACTGGGCAGACGTGACAGAGTTTTTCCAGTGAGATTCTTTAAAACAGTCTGCAAAACAAGATTTACTTTTGACTGGCTTACCCCACACTCTGTGACGAGAGTCATTACAGTTTCCCTGATCTCGTTTGAAAACTTTCCATCATAAAAAGTATCAATAACAGGGTCAGAAATCAATGCATTTATCTCTTCTAATCTTTTTACATTTTTATCTTTGTTTGAAATTTCTAGTTTCAGTTCTTCAATTTTTTGTAAGTTGTTTTCAAACAAATCATTTTTGGACTTTTTTAGCCTACAAACTTTGACAAGCAAATTTTTTTTCTCTTTTTTAAAATTATCTAATTCACTCTTCATTTGTACATTTTCTTTTTTTACATCATTCAGCTCTCTCTCTTTCTCAGCAATCTCACATTCTTTCTCCAAAATCAAATCAGTTTTCTTATCAATAATTTCATCCCTACGCTTTATTTTTTTGTTAACATTTCTTGTTGATTGCTTTTGTAGTTTAAGTTTTTTCTCATGAAGGTCCTCAACTGCATTATCAAACTGCCTAGACAAATTATTATATCTAATCTCCCATTCTTCAAGCTCCTCCCTTAACCGTACACTTTCCCTTTTAGCACCACATACTTGTTTATATTTATCATTGGTTATTTCGAGTACATTTTGTAGGATATCAATTTTTCTTTCAGCATGTTGAATTTGCAATGATAGGTTTTCATTACTTTGTTCTGTTGCAGTAACTTTTCTTTTCATTCTCACATTTTCATTTACAATTTTTGAAGCACACTTCTTAAACACACTAACACATTTTTCCATTTCAACTGACCCGCTCAATTCATTTTCCTCATTTGATTTCATTTTCATAAAAGGAGAACATAGAATAGTTTGTAATTCATTTTCTTTTTTATTTTTTTTCATCAACTTGCATTTGTTGTTTAGCCTTTGAATCTTAGTGTATAAAACAAATTTGTCATAGGTATGAAATTCAGCATCTGGGAAGTCAACACATAAGTTTTTCATTATAGAAACTGCTGACTTTTCCTGTTCGTAAACCTTCAGCACCTGGGCGTTGGTAGGCATACAACCTTTCCCTAAATTAATAAGAAAGACATTCCTTACTAAATGACAATTAAAATTAAACCTGTGCTGACCAGCAGCTTTTAAATAAAAGTTCTTACAATGTTGGAATATGCTGCACAGCAGCTTCCACAGAATGGACATTCGCCGACCAGCAGCTGTATTGTAGGTTCACCGATCAACGGCATGATATAAACATCCTGAAAAATAAATAAAGGGACCACAAAGCATCTTGTTCAAAAATAAATAGTATACACTATAGTAATAATAAATATTACTCCAAAATCTACTGATTACTTTAAAAGATATAGTTAAATAGCCACTGTGATCAAGATTAAAAAAGGATTTCTTTTAAAAAAAATTATCATAAATTAAATTTAATTGTTTGAGATTTTAATTGTTTATATATTTTTTTATGATTAATCTAATTATTTTTATGTTTCTCATATTTCAAATAAGAATAATACCAACCTAATGATGAATCTCCCATGATGATTATTTGTTTATAATTGTTAGATTAAGTGGTGGACATTGGATAACAACATCTTGTAAAACTGTCGTAGTAGTCGGATATTCTGTCTTTGAAGCGTTCAGGGTCGGTCTGAAATGACACATTTCCGCGAGTTATTTTCAAGTTTATTTTATTAACAGCGATTGTTTTTAATAGAAAACATGTCAAATTTCACTATTTTAATTGAAAGTGAATAAAAAAATAAGCATACCTTATCAAAAAAAGCATTTATTTTCTTTATTTATGTGTCATTTCCCGACCAGACGACCGATTTTCAACTTTCAACTTTCCCCGTGAAGGTCATTGATTACCCTTGCACCTAGTTGATACGGATCAGTTATTAAATCAATAAGCGTCTGCGGAACGGATAAAAACCGATACCATACCGCGCCAAAACCGTTGATTTCGCTGTCAGCGCTCCGGTCTACTGCTCATTCACGGTAAACAATGGGTGTGGGAAAATGGTCCGTTAACGGGTTAAATTACTTTCAAGGGTAATAAAACTTATATCACAACAAAGAATAATGATTAATCATAACATCTATGCATTTTTTTATTCAATAATAATTAAATTATTTAAAAGCCAGCTGTTACAAAAACATAGATTTTTCCAATATTTATGCGGCCATTACGCTAAAAGGTCACGTGACTTGAACCCCCTAGTATATTTGCATAATTTACACACTAGCTATCTGGCAATGGCAAACAATTAAAAAAACAGATTAATCATTTTATAACATAAATAAAAGGTTTCGTACATGTTGAGTATTGATTATCAAGTTCCTTCTTTAGATCCTTTTCAGCTGCACTTTCAGTGTCCCCAGTTAGTGTCCTGTTGTCCCCTAGAATTCTTCCAAGAGGTAACCCATCTATGATCGACCCCCTTGAAAAATCAGTTGATTTTCTTCTTGAGAACGAGTCCCTGTCCCTTGACAATTGTCGGGATAACTGTCTTTGATAAAACATGTTGAGATTGTAGAAATTTGCTGAGGAATTGTTAAAATTATTTAGCTGTCATTTTCAACCTATCCAAACTGAATAACCTTCACCTTCAAAAATGAAAGTAGGTCACGGAATTTTTGTAAGTTATTTATAGATATTAGACTGCGTTCACATCATTAAACAAGAATGAAGAAGTATTTTTCTCCGATTCTGGATACAGTCTGATGTTGTGTACATAACTTCCGGGCTTGTGAAAATGACAAATCTCAAAATATATTTATTACTTTTTGTTCAATATTTAAATGTAAGCTTTGTAATATTATTGTCAGATGTTACAGACAAGGTATTTAGTAAACGACCTACAGGTCTAATTGCAGCATTTGGTGATTTTAATGCAGATAAATACACAGACGTCTTTGTCATATCCGATAATGGTGAGATTGAGAATCAACATTCTATCTCGAGATTGTTATTGCAGGACCACATTTACCCGCTATCTTGGAAAGGGGTCCCTAGAAAATTTGAAATAGTTGTATCTATGTGTATGGCCAAATGTGTAGAATCTAGCTGTTTACTATTATATAAAAGTTGAATCAGTTTGTATAATGAAAATATATCGAAAAATAGCCAAAGCTGGAGTCTAGAGCTGAGTCTAGTAAAATTCCATTCAGGCCACAGGGTACCAAGCCTAAAATGTAGGTAAAATGGTCCAACTGACTAGCAATGTTTTGGGATCTGTAATAATAAGATAATATAATATATAAATATAATCTTATACGGTGGGGTCGGTCTTTACCCCAAGACACCCAAAGAGTTGAAAGACGAAGACTACTCTGGGACAGAAATATACACAATTTTAGTCCCAGGACTACCCCAAGACACTTATATATTGTGTAAATTAGGAAAGTTTTATTATATACGACAACTGATTATTTACGAGTCATCTTGTTACTGTCCAATTCATAAAATATTGTTCATTATGTATGGACTTTTTTCGTCACTAAAATATTTATTGATATGCTCTTTGTAGAAAAAATATTTTGATTAAAATCAGATTTACTGAAAAAATAAGACTAATCTAATGAAATGTAGGGCTGATGAAATTGAAAAAAAAAAATCAATATCATGAAACAAAATATGATCTATTTAATAATCAAGCATCAAAAATGTGTCACTCATAAAATTACATTGTTGCAGAATTAAACTTGCAGTACACCAAAACCCCACAACTTTGGCATTATTTCATTGTTGTAAACTGATTTGCAAAAACAAAGAATATTTTTATAATCTTACATTAAAGAAATACAGGGAAATAAATGAAGGGAGATAATTCAATGTGTACATGTGAAATAGCATAGTTACCCTCTGTTAACAATGTGAAATTAAGACCCTAAGTACATGTCAGTTAAAGTGTCTTGGGGTGGTCTTGTGGTGTCTTGTCATAGTCTTGGAGTAATCTAGGGTTGTCTTAGGGGTGTGTTGGGATAGTCTTGCGGTGTCTTGGAGTAGTCTTGCGATGTCTTGGGGTAAATAGACTGACCATTTACGGTGTGACCGAGAGCGATATAGTATCATATATACTTTATTGATTTTTTCAATGTTTTCACTTTTGGTCAACGCAAGATTTTCTATGATGTCAGAGGGGAATGCTAATTGAACATCATTCAGCAACATAATTAGCCAATCAAAATATTCTGAATTTCTGTTGCATCAACATGGTAAACATGTTAAATCCTGGCCCCATCCCCAAGATTAGCTAGGTCTTTGCAGATTTAGAGATTGTTAGATTCTACTTATGCCAAAACTAAAAAGAATAATAGTGGCAATGAGTGTTTTAAAGAGACTCTGCCTTGATGACAATTGTTATTCAACATATTTGAAAGATGATTTTTTTGAACTTTTTTTGTGTGAATATTTTAAAAACTCAAATATTTTTAGGAAAGACTCTGTATGTGTACCTGGCAGATATTGAGGAAGAGTTTAAGGAAACAAAACTCATGACACTAGAGGACAGTGATCTCCATATCTCAAGTGTGGTACCTGCAGACTTTGATGGAGATCTACAAATGGATGTCATGGTAACACTTCATAAAAAAGGTGATTCCAGTTACAAGGTGTCACCTAGAATCTACTGGGGTCAGGGTTCAAGTCTCAATACAACCACTGGTAAGTGACTGAGTAAAAGTTCTTAATCCACATTGTATTTTGTTATTGATTTTTGTTGAATTTTTTCTCTTTCATTTGTAATACGTTTAACAGTCAGGAGCATGCATTATAACTACTTGAAGATTATAGACAATTCAGAAATTCTGTTACTTAAAAGGCCAATGCTTGGACAAAGATATTTTTCATTAAAATTGATGTTTTTGTAGAAATAACAATATGTTTGTCAGTAAAATTTCTCTTTGTAACCATGGCAACTGTTTTTATCATTATTACAGGAGGTTTTCTTAAACTGCCAGATATGACTGATCAGCCTCTTCTAATGGAGTAAGTATGAGCATGTACCACTACCTGTATATATGTATCATTAGTCATAAAGACTTTTGACAGGTTTATATACCTCTTTATTAATGGCTGATTGCATATACATGTATTATATATATTCTAACCAGAGTTTCTTATAAAGCCTTGGGAGGGTTATATTGGCAACAACTATTTATATACGGCTCAAATGTTTTACAAAAAGAGCATTTTAACAATAATCGATTGAGCTGAGGAATATGAGTCAGTAGTGTTTTGTCCAATTATATTATTTCTCAGCATGTATGTACTTATATTATATATCATTATATTTTTCTAGCAAAAATGCAGACATGATACCAGACTTGTTTGGTGAAAAATCCCCAGGGGGGAGATATTTCTGGATATTTAGGTATGAGAATTTCTTGTTAAATAATAGTGGTAACATTCTTATTTGTTAAAGCTGTATGCCTCCAGATTGATGCTAAATTTCATGAAATTTGAGAAAAAAATAATGAATAGTAAAATATTAATAACTGGACAAAGAAAGTAATTTACACATGTTTTTATTGCAAACAACACTTACTAGTATTATCTACAGAAATTATCAAAAAAAACTGGTCAGAATCTGCAAGAACTGTCCTTACTGCATTAGTCATGCAGTAGAAATATGGCGATATTGATAAGTACTGAAAAATTAGCCATTAATTGCATATAATAATTACTTGAATCTTGAATCTTTTTACTTTTCTAAAAATCTTAGTACATGTACATTTTTCTCAAGTTTGATTTTCTTAAAATATTTTGGCTTATCTGGAGGCATGCAGCTTTAATTATTTTGTGCAAACTCAAAGGGGTTTTATGTTAATTTGTATGAAGTCACTCTTTGTATAATTATGTCCTTAAGTTTATTTATAGTAACATATGGCAATTTACACAAATAAGTGTTAATCATGACCCCTTAATGTTTTTGGAAAAAACGTAAGAAAGTCCTTTGTTATTCTAAAAGTGCCAGCTGATTCTTTAACATGTAAATTTGGCAAATTGTGAACACCTTGCATTTGACCATGATTTAAAGTATCACAAGATATTGTGATTGTAATCTGCCCCTTCAATGGTAGCATAATGTTAGACATGTCAGTGTTGCTGTTTTGATAAACGATGAACCTTTCACCTGCAGGTGGCAACTGATTCAACCTGTGCAGGCATATCTATGTCATCCTATCATAGTCTGTTCACTACTCAATCTGTATATACTTTGAAGATTCCCTTGTAATGATAAATAGTTTTGAGCATATTGAAAGATCTGCAAATCTATTTTAGATATTAGGGTGGTACAGGCTTGATTATTTTGTATGTTTGTTTTGTTTGCTTTAACATCAGTTAAACAATATTTCAGTCTTGCACTGTCAGGCAGTTAGCTTACGGAGTGTACTTTAATTAATAATTATTTTGATCTTTTACCAACCATTTTTTAGCACTAAAGGTCATCTTCTCCACATTTGCTATGTTTTCATCAGTGGTCTTTTACAGGCATATAAATGGCATGATATTATCAACTAAATTGTCCTTAGCCAAATACTCAAACTTTCATAAACAGAGGTGTGTAGATCTTATATTTTCTCAGCTGGTACTGAGCGTATTTGACAATCTTAGTGAATGGAGAGTAAGGCATCGTAATTTTTGTGTGCTGCATTGATAGTTCACTACTCTGACATTTCATTTGAATAACAATATATTTGACCACAAACATTGACATGTGCATTTTTTGTTAACAAATATGTTGTGGGGAAATTCATGCTTTATCCACTAATCTGAAAATTAGAATTGGACAGGTCAGGGATCTATCCATTGTTTTCATAATGTAATTATTTATTTGTAATTTAGTATCTCTAAGTTTTAAAAATCTTCTGTTTGTTTATATTTTTAGAACAGATAGAAACTTCACTGAGGAGAAACAGACAGTACCAACAGGGCAGACAACTCTTGCTTCACTTAGAACTCCTCAGTCAGGAGCATTTGTAGATCTAAATAATGACTTAACTGCTGGTATGTTGTGATACAGTATGATCTTGCTTATAGTTGTTGAGGGTAAATGTTGCATACTGACTAAATTACTTACCCTTAATTGTTGTCTGTTTGAATCCTGATGAAAATGTACAGTCCAGCAAGTTAGGCCAAAAATAAAAGTGTTTTTTGTTTCCCCTTTCTTACCAAACCAAAATAGGGTTTAGTTAGGTAGGACTTAGAGCTGTCATTGATTCAGTCCAAAGCATATCAATGATAAATCAATATTGGATAACAGATATCAGTGATACATTGATATATCAAGTAGTACTTACATATATTATTCTATTATACCAGTTGAAATATTTTAGTAGAATACATGCTCTTTGCGTATAATATAAGTGTCTTCTTTAAATGCCATAATTATGCAATTTTTAATATTTTTTTATGTTTTTTTCTGACAGTATAATATAACACTTGTCCTTTTTATTGGACAGCTCCTGTATATGTTAAGTTTAAATCCTCATATACACTGATATATTTATGATGCTTTACATTTACAACATTTATTTTTATTCTGTAGATTTATGTGTCGTGTCGAAGGCTGATAGTACACAACTGGAGTATTGGACCAATCAGGTATGGCTGTCCTTTTGAAGGTGCTAGACGAAAAAAATCATTGATTCGAAAAAAGGCTCTTTATATCTGCTAGCTTTACCATTTTCTGTATTCTGTACTAATTTTTAGCACAATCATTCAAAGAATATGGAGAGCTATTGTACTCATGTAGGCGTTTGCGTTGCCACCACACTTTGGTTAAGTATTTTTGTGTGCAAGTTGCTATCTCCACAACTAATGAAGGGATTAGGTTGAATTTCACATGCTTATTTGATAGCATAATAGGAGGTCAGTTATTACTTAATAGATGTACAATATATTCGATATTGCAATACTTAATCTGGCAGTATTTTATATTATATATCAGGTGTCACAATATTTTGAAACTATGAAGTTGTTATTAAAAAATTAAAATTCTAATAACGTAGAGTGTTCTCAACTTGTATATAGCTTGTCTTCAAATGGCATTTACATATGGTTGTTTAAACCTTCTCAATTGCCACTTTTAACTTGGTCTCAAAGTCTTGTACCAAAGTGTTTCTCGTAAAGATGCTAATGATTAAATAGCAAGTTTTCTGATTTTCAGAATGGAGATCTCACATGGAAAAATACCATTCCTGTTACATATGAAAAGGAATTGAAAGTCATTGGGCAGTTTGTTTTTGCTGACTTTGGTAAATTTTTCTTTTCACTTCTAAATATGTCATTGATTCTTGAATTAAGCTTAAATGTATCATTGACCACCAGGTCCTGTCCTTTACATAAATGTATCAAAGTCCTTGGTTCAAGAAAGTACTGATTTACTTTTAGAAAAATTTGACTTACATTGAAAATGTTTATCAATAGCCCTTTTGATAAACATAAACATAATAATCCCCACCTAACATCCACTTTGTTTCTGTCACCACTCTGCTATTACAAATAATTTTAAAAAGAACTTTTGTTATGTATGACAACCACATTCTTCTGTCCTTCGACCCAATTGAGACACAAAGTTTTTCAGGAATTGGGAATTTCTGAAACTGAAATAATTACTCACAAGTTGTGTAGATAAGACTTTAAAAAACAAGTTCCCATGTAATGGTGCTTTACTTCTTGCATGATTTTTGACCAGTTTTCTCCAGGAATGGAGTAATTTCTGTATCTAAGCTTAAGAAACAAAAAATTATAAACATTTTTCTGAAGTGTGTTGCCCATTTAAGTTTTCGGTGGCAACTTTGAATGTATGACAAAACAATTTCAGAAACACCTACCAATGCTGATTATCAGGAACTATTATATATTAATGTTGGTATCATTTTGCTAAAACACTTGTATTTGATATTGGTTGTAGATGGAGATTTGTACACAGATGTCCTTGTACCGGCTTGTCTGGATGAAAAGTGTGCTCAGAGTGTTTTACTAGTTTACACAAATAAAAAGGTAAGGCAGGTGTCATATCTTTTTCTATATTCTTTGAAAGTGACTTAACCACTTAACATGCAGGAACAGAAAGTGATTAGCCTTTGCCACTAAGTTAGAGGCAGGCCTGATCAATCTTTATACTACTGGTAGCTCAATTTTGTATTTTAAAACTGAAAACCCTGTAACTTCAAATGGACTGTTCCAAATTGAAAGCTGGGCAAATCCATTACACAAAGATTGGCAGGTTAAGGGGTTAACCACTCGTAGTTTTTCTTCCATTTACATCATTTAACATACACTTACCTTTACAATTAAACCAGATTAACAGGTTATAAAAAACAACTATTATAAAGATAAGAATAAATTCTTAGATTAAAGAGAATATACTATATAAACATGGAAAATATAATCAGACATTGTGTCTTTATCTTGTATAGGATCAAATAATCAAATCAAGCATTTAAAGCTAGCATCAGGTATTGCCTGTATATATTATGAATATATCAGAATGCACCAAAATGGTCATAACCGTATTAGTAATGATTGATATATCATAACAGAAATAACCAAGCTGTAAAATTAGTCATATTTTGCATATAATATACCACAAGGAATATTAGAATAAACCTTTATCCTGGAATCAGCATCTGATTCTACCCAAGTGACCAAGGCAGACCTAGATCAGCAAGCACATTTGTACCATCTGATCATGGTCTGCACTGTTTGCTTTTCAGTTACTATATTTTAAGCTCTATTATTCGATAAGAATAATCACCCGAACGTCGGTGTTACCACTTATGTTAAAGTTTTTGTAACACCTCAAATATTTTCAAAATCCATTGACATATGGCTTTGAAACTTCGCACACTTGTTCACCATCATGACCCAAACCTGTAGACAGGAGGAGGTAAATGAATCGAGCATTTTGACAGAATTATGCCCCTTTTTCAACTTAGAATTTACATTAAAGTTTTTGTAACACCGCAAATATTTTCAAAGTACATTGACATATGGCTTTGAAACTTTGCACACTTGTTTATTTTTCTTTAGATTGAATATTTCAAACATTTGGATAAGCTTATTTATTAAATGATCATTCTTTCAGGCTTATATTTTCTATTTGATATGTACATGTAAATAGTTTGATTTAAGCTTTATTGCCTTTGTTTTACAATAGTGGGTTAAACTACCTGTGGATTTGAGTTACAGTCTACGCTCCTGGAATTTCATACCCCCAAACCAGTCCGGAGCACCAGACTTCCTCACCGTACCAATCACATTACGAGTTGGTGACTTTAACCTGGATGGCTTCCCAGACTTGTTAGGTGTTGTTGGAAATGCCACAGGGTAAAATATTTCATATTTTTAAAGTCACATTTTGCCTCAGAAATGCATATATATTAAATTCATTAGAAATGTTAAACATATGTTTAATAATGTTTTAATATTGGATTTACACTTATTCTCACGCGAATTGTGAAATTGATGTCGCTGCACACTCTGAACATAATCGATTCAGAAAAACTTGCTTTTTGATAGCTAACGTGCAAAAAGTATATAAGGGAATTTTTTGATCCATAGACTTCATTGATAACACATTCGATACCAAAATTTTATGAGGGAAGCTATTGGAAATGTAATGTTCGAGACTGTCGCCAATTTTGGATTAATTCGTGTTTGAGCTAGTGTAACCCCAAAAACCTAAATATAATTCGGCATAAAAATTAATTTGTGCAGGAGTATGTAATGTCTTCTTATCTGTTTTCGAAGCTTGACCCACTTGAAAAGACTGATCTTTGTCAAATGTAGAATGTTTTAGAACTGTCGCCAAAATTTATTTGGCATCGGTAATGTACGCGACTTGTAAATTAAGTGCCGCACTTAACTTAAAATAACTGAGTAATCTAAGTCGTTTTAATATGTTTACTTACAATAAATACTTATGCTACTATAGCCAGACTTATCTTTCTTATGAATAAATTCTAAGAATTAACCGAGATTCTATTACTTTGACAGCCTGTGCCAGATGATGACTTTAAGCATGTAATGTTCGCTACTTAAAAATTAGTACGTTCTATGCACTATTTCCCAAATAAGGAATTTTTAATAAATGATTTACAATTTGGAGGGATATATAATAACCAAATCTTAAAGAATTGCGCCCACGAATCTTTTAATATATCTATATACACATATGTCTGTAATGTACGCGACTGTAATGTTCAATACAATAAAAATGTAACATGGCTTTAGTATACTTAATTTTCAATTAACCAGGACTTAAACTAGTTCATTTTTGTGTTATACTTAATCATAGATGCAGCATAAATGTATACATCCTTGTATTTTTTACAGTTATAATCAAATTTTCTTAATTTTGTATATGTAAGGCTTTTAGAATCTAGTAACTGAATATCAGATTCTAGTAACTACAAAAACAAAGATGTAATGCGTTTAATATTTATTTTCTTCTAAAGCTAGAACCTGTATGCAAGGTTTCTTACTGAAATTGTTTAGATATAGATTATAAGTGATATGCCTTTCATAATAGGTAATTGTAATGTTTCACTTACATTTCGTATCGAACATTACTGAATTATTCTGATGGCAATCTATACATTTTGTTAATGTTTTCAGCGATTTTGCTTTTGTTTTGAGGAAATATTCCATAATTATATATTGTTTAAATAAAGTAAATAGGTGTTTGTAATTTAAATGCGTAAATATATATAAGGCAATATTGTTGATTATCATCTAAATCAGTTTCAAACCCTAATAACGTTTCACCGCGTTAGTAAAAAAACTACTATTATAAACATACATATAATAACTGAAAATATTATTAGATACTATAAACATAGTTGCTGACATGTTTAAAATATATCATCTACAATATTATACACATGATAGCGTCTACAAAATATAACAACGATGTATCAAACATTACGATATTAGTATCGAACATTACACGCAGATCTTGAAAAATTTCTTCATCTCTACAGTCATAATATGGTGAAATATGTATTAGAAATAAGTAGTAATTGCACTTACAAGTGTAGAAGAGGAAACGACAATGTTGGCTCTTTGTAATTGAAATATTTTAAACTACGTAGGAAGCACATAATAATTAACAATTAAAATACATTTTATCTCAATATTGGCTAGTAAGGTGTCTATTTTGAAATGTTCTGTTCAAATCTTAAAATTTGATGTAGCCTTAATCAAATCAAAGGCATGAATTGTAATATATGTATTGTTATTCTGTACGCTGCATATATGCCCACGATCTCAGTAAATATGTTTTATGACATTGATATTAATATAAGGACAGGTATATAACTTCTTTTGTATGCCGGATACATAGTTATACTCGTAATTTAATTCGTTTGTGCAATATTATTTACCAATGCTATTAACTCAAGCTTAAATGAACACACTTAATAATATTAAGTCTAAACTTAAAAAATGATTGTATAATAAAATGATGATAATAATAACTATTACTATTACCCACAACGAATATTTTTACTGGATTACGTAATGTCCGAGACAATTGATGTTCTGTCAAACAGACTCTACCACAAAATTTTAGTCATGTATTTTGTTTGAAAAGTTTTTTTCCGTCACATTATCATTATTGAAGTAATGTTTAAACAAAACATAAGAACAAATAAATGGAATAATACAATTGAAATCAATCATCAAAAATTCCGCATTTTAAATAAACATACTTTTGTAGAATTGCGTTTTATCGCGATAACTTTGCAAGCTCAAGAAAAAAATATTTCAAGCGTTTCGTAGTGAAATATTTTGTTATTTTATAAATGTAATGAATACATGGCAAAAATTAAGTTCTTTGAAGTGGATATGTTTAATATTTCTTATGAAATTCAGAATGTTTTAATTAATAAACTGATAGTAGCGTACATTACAATAGGATAAATTTGACAACTAGGGTTGCTTCTTTCAGAGAGTAGTACTCGCAAAGTATTTGGTTGATGTTCAAAAAATTTCACAATTGTCTCATTTAAGGGTTCTACTTTTCGAAATCTTTGAAAATAGGCCCTATTAAGGAGATCGATTTTTTCGACTTTGGATCTGTCAATTTCACAATTCTTATGAGAATCAGTGTTAGTGCATGTAAGATGTTTAACTGTTGCTGAAAGTAGTGCTGAATGTGCAGTTATATGTTGTAAAGGTGGGAAAATGTAAAAGCATTTTGATTTCTATACAAAATACTAATTCACTACAATTATGCCAACAAAGCAAAAGGAGCAAAGATAATTCATTTTTATAGCAAGTAAATTTTTTTTATGAAACTGTAACAAGATACCCCAAAAAGTTTTTTTAGAAATAAAAATGATACCATTCCTCCATAAAAGTCAAAGAATTTAGAGTATACGTTTTGTTTTCTTATAGGAACTTGCACAGGGCAGTTATTATGTACAATAATCAATGTCCTGGTGACTGTGGAGGTTTTTCTAGGACATTTGTAATAGACTGGGATACATGGTTAGAGTCACATGATCATAGAGCTCTCCTGCCTGCATTTTACGACCTTCGTGACAATGTAAGTTACGCTTATTTCTGTACAATGTGTTATTAAAGGATTATTTGTAATGTAAAGATGCAAATCCTTGGCCATAAGGTCTGGAATGTTCAGAAGAAGAAGCAATTATTTAGAAAAAAAATTGATGGTTACGATTTGTTTAAAGTATATTGAAAGTATTTTCAGAGAAAAGAGCATAAAATGCCCAGCATAACCTTAAACTATTGCTTTCTTCATTAATTCATTCATTTGTTTGTTTGTTCATTCATTTATTCGTAAATTCATTCATTCATTCATTCATTCGTAAATTAATTAATTCATTCATTCATTCAATGCATTCATTCATTCATTCATTCACCCATCTTATCATTTATATTATAATATGAAGTGATACATGTGTAATACCATGTAATTTTCAAGTTTTGTTTGTTGGAATAGGGTATTTTAGATATTATTGTTACAAGCATAGATGGCAAGGGGGCGCCAACTACAGAAGTTAGAGAACACAAATTTGTAGATGATGCATGCTTCATGAAAGTTATGGGTAAATTCTTTTTTATCTTAACAATTATTACAAACTTTTAGACAATAAAGCATTGACATGATATCTGAACAAAGGGTCAGTATCTATGATATTTGAACAACATTTCATGTTGATGATATGACAGAATCTAAAACTGGCTAGCTTACTGAACATCTGTTTGTGCCTAAAATAATGCTCAGAAAGGCATCCAAGTTCTTCCTCCACCAAAAAAGCTGGCAAATCACCATATGACCTTTACTGTGTTGGTTAGACGTAAAACCCAAGACAAAAAATGTGGCTGATATGTGAAAAAGGTTGAAAGAAGATGATATCTGAACAAGGCCCAGGATTTATGAACAAGATTTCATATCAGTTTAAGATTTCCAGTCTTCCAAATTACAGAGGGAGGCCTTTGATTGATCTTAAATTGTTGAGATTTTTGCCACTCAGTATCTCATGTTTTGTGAAATTTTAGCTTTTTACATTAACAAATTTTATGGAAGAGAATGTCTCTCAAAAATAGTTACAGATTCATATCATTTCATACATACACTTTTTGCATTAAATTCTTTTGGTTGATGTGGCTACCCATCAAGCTTTGTTATATAAAGGATATTGAATGAGTATAGATTTAATACTAAATTTATTGAAAGAGTTGAACAAATTCATATTAATATGCGAGTAATATCGGTTTTATTAAATGGCTTTATTACACTCCTGCACTGAGATTTATGTTATAAAAGTTCATAAAGCTTTATATAAGCTAGCACTTTATGACAGATGTTATTTGTATATTATAGTTGTGAGTGGTCGGTGTGACTATCAATGTCCTGCTGGAAGAAAGGTAAATATTTTAACCCTAACCCTGCTAATTTTGTGAAATGGACTCGTCTGTTTTTGAATTTTGAACTGTCCATTGTTAGTTTAAAGGGTTTTCAGTATTGAAATAACAGAATTCAGTAGGCAAATGTTAAGAGCATTGTCTGACAGCATGAATATACATGAAGACCTTGCTTCATTACTGGTGGCATAGAAAAGTCAAAATGGTGGGTAGAACTCTTTTGTTTTCATGTGAGGAAGTTATCCAGCTAGCTCTATAAGGTTGGTGTTCCTACTCAGGTGTCTACATGTGCCCATAATAATGCACAGAGTAGCACCAGGAAAGCTGGAAAAATGTCATATCATATGATCTCTTATGAGCTGAATAAGATATATTTCCAAATATTTTCAAATATGAAATAAGTACATGGTCAAAGTATATTCAAAAGATTATTCAAAGATTATTCAAAATTTACCCAATATTGTTTGTGCTTCAAATTTGTACTGTTGAGATGTCATTATAGTTTTTTAACAGCATGTTTAAATTATTCTGATTTTATTTTTCTAACATGTTAAATTATGTTCCTAACATATTTCGAAATATGTTTCAAGAACATGTTCTATACATATTGCAAACCACTTGCCCCACACCGCTGTGGGTTCAAATCCCAACAGGGACTTTGGATTTTTTTATGTGAGGAAGCTATCCAGCTAGCTTACGGAACGTGGGTTCTACTCAGGTGACCGTTCGTGCCTGAAATAATGCACGGAAGTGCACCTGAGGTCTTCCACCACCAGTAAAGCTAGAACGCCATATGACCTATACTGTGTCAGTGTGATGTAAAACACAATCAAACGAACAAACAAACACATATTGTACATATGTAAATAGTAACTATGTTCCATTCATTATATTAGACATTAACATTATTATGACTCTATGTCAATTCAAACTACAGTACCAACAATTACATATGTGTATGTCTGGTGTTTTTAAACTGTTCCAGCCATATGGTGTAAATCAGCCAGGTCCTGTAGTGAGATACAAAACAACTGACCTGAGTGGAGATCCTCAACATAAAATAGGTATATTACATATAAAACATTAAATATGAGTGACATGAATGGTTTTATCACATAAACTACGGAGTAGGAGTGTAGGATAACACTGAAATAAAAACAATATTACACATGTGTGATAACTATGCAATATGACATCATTTTTGTGATACAAAAATAGCTTTAAAGCATGCTAATGTACCGTAAGCATTACACTGTAGGTGGGATGATGAAAATATAACCTGTTCTTATTTTGGATTTGTGATTAAATACTATATCCCTGTAGGTTCAATACTAAATTTTTTGAACTTATGATGAACAATAGATCTAGTATTAAACCTATACTTATTCAATATCTTATATGTAATGTAAGTCAATTCTGAATGGCTAGATTGTTTTATCATTATTTGCAAACAAAATGCTTTTGAACTATTAATGAGAATATTAGATTTAGAAACTCATTATTGTTGGAAATGTATTTTCCTTTATATCTGAGAAACTTTAGGATTACTGCCTTAAATGTAGGGTATAATATTGTTGATAGCAGCATAGACACATCTTATAAGAGAATAATTAAAGCATGAAAGCAACACCATGTGAGCCGCATCAAGACAAAACCAACATAATGGGTTTGCGACCAGCATGGATCCAGACCAGCCTGCGCATCCACGCAGCCTGATCAGGATCCATGCTGTTCGCTTACAAACTATAACAAGTAGAGAAACCGATAGCGAACAGCATGGATCCTGATCAGACTGCCCGGATGTGCAGGCTGGTCTGGATCCATGCTGGTCGCAAACGCATAAAGTTGGTTTTGTCATGACGCGGCTCATGTCTATTCTGTTTCAGCTTTCCAGTTATCCCAATCTGCATATATGCCATTACAGTTACCTTACTCAGTGTTTGGATTAGGCCAGACACCAAACTTTGTTGATACATTAGAGGTTGGAATACCAACAAATACATCAGTAAGTTATTATATACTCAGAACTTATTGATCAGTTTATTCAGTATTTGTTTTATGATTTCTTTTGAATGAGTTCATAATAAGCAAGAAGATATAGATTTTTAGCTCACCTGAGCATGCTCAGGGTGAGCTTTTAGGATCGATGATTGTCCGTCGTCCGTTCACATTTAGTTGTTAACACTCTAGCAGTCGCATTTTTGCCTCAATCATTATCAAACTTGGTCAGGATGCTTATCTAGTTGATAGCTTGGATGAGTTCGAACATGTGTTGTCTCGGATGAAAACCTAGGTCACAGGAGCTAAAGATAGAAAAATCTTGATAACACTCTAGCAGTCACATTTTTGACACAAGTGTCATCAAACTTGATCAGGATGCTTGTCTAGGTACTTGCTCGGATGAGTTCGAACATAGGTCATCTCGGATGAAAAACTAGGTCACAGGAGCTAAAAATAGAAAAATCTTGTTAACACTCTAGTAGTCACAATTTTGACTCAATTGTCATCAAACTTGGTCAGGAAACTTGTCTAGGTCATTGCTCGGATTAGTTCGAACATGGGTCATCTCGGATGAAAAACTAGGTCACAGGAGCTAAAAATAGAAAAATCTTGTTAACACTCTAGTGGCTACTGTTTTGATCCAAATATCCTGTAAATTGGTTTGAAAGTTTGTTTTGATAATTTCTAGGTCAAGTTCGAACATGGGTCATCTCGGATGAAAAACTAGGTCACACGGCCCAAATATGGAAAAACCTTGTTAACACTCTAGTGGTCACATTTTTGACTCACCTGTCATGAAACTTGGTCAGAATGCTTGTCTAGGTTATTGTTCGGATGAGTTCAATGGGTCAGGTGAGCGATCTAGGGCCATCATGGCCCTCTTGTTATTCATTTATCAGAGCACAAAGTTCTGACCTCGATAGATTTTTATTCATTTATCAGAGCACAAAGTTCTGACCTTGATAGATTTTTATTCATTTATCAGAGCACAAAGTTCTGACTTTGATAGATTTTTATTCATTTATCAGAGCACAAAGTTCTGACCTTGATAGATTTTTATTCATTTATCAGAGCACAAAGTTCTCAAGGTCAGCTATTGTGATACTCCTATATCTGTTATTAGCTATAATATTTTTACATAAACAAGATCTTCTCCTAAACTGCTTGACCAATAGTGATGATAGTTTACAGGTATGATCCTTGGCTGATCCTCTATGAAAATTGCTCAAATGGTTACAGTCTATTGAACAAGATGGCTGCCAGAGGTGAAAATATAAAAACCTTTTAAAAACAACTTCTCAATCTATTGGTAGATTTTGATGAAACTGTACAGAAATGACCATTAGGATGTCCCTTACAAAAATGTTAACATGTTTCTGTCAGTTGAACAAGGAATATCTTGGTAATTAAATCTTATCTATGTGGATCATATCCTTTGGTGAGCGATTTAAGGCCAGAATGGACCTCTTGTTCTCCTCTTAATCTGTGACAGTAATAATTTACAGAATACGGGAACAAATTGTCAGTGCAGTAATATGTTAAATTCTTTTAAATTTGATTGGATTTAACCTGTTACTGCGCAAAGGTGACACAAATTATTGTCTTTAAATTTTTAGGATATGTTTTGTGACACTTGATCATAAGTTAGTGTTTGTTTCATTTTTCTTATTTGCAGAAAAGACTGAACCATGCCTGGACATCAGTGATTCCTAATTCTCAGCTACTGATAATTCCACATCCTATAAATGATCCAACAAAGTAAGTCTTTTCTATCCATGTTTTCTATGTGATATAACCAGTAAATATTTTGTAGTACACACATGAAATATAATTCGCGATTTATTTATGTCACACAGTGGTTTTTCTTCCTGAATTGGGAAAAGGCCTTAGCCTCTTGTTTTTGCGTCATTGAAATTGTTAATTTGGGAAGTAAAACTATAAGTTCACCTGATATGACATTTAAGCATTCCTACTTCATGCTGTGAACAATATCTTATTATAAAGCACTTGTCTGTCCTGTCTGATTAATAGGGGAGTAATGTGAAGCATATTTATTACAATAAATGATAGCAAACTGTAATGAACATATTTACTAGATGCTATTTTGGTACTTTCTTAAATAATGATGTCAAACTGAAAATCACTCTTGCATGAAAAAATGAACTTAAAGAGATATTACAGTAACTGTTGAAAGAAGGCGGGGTGGCTTTCGGTTTGTTATGATTTTACTGTATGAAACGAAAAAAAAGTGATAAAAGCTCACCTTTACATCTGTCAAAAATGCATTTTAAATTGTGTAATTCATCTTCTCACACAGCATACGATAATGAGTAAAAATTGTAAGAATTTGGCAGGCAAAAAAAACACAATGCTTTTTCTACTTTGTGATCAAGCCTCTAGAGGTACTGATCCAACAACGTAGTGAGTTAAATACTTAGTTGATACTTACCAGTTTATCAGTGTTGATAATTCTCATTTATATGGTTTACCATAGTTTTGTATAATCATATGTGAAACATTGAATTAGTAAATGGGAAGTTTCAGCGGTTATCTGTAATGAGTGTCAGAAATAGTCTATATCTACATGTTAATTAGGAAAGTTGTCTAGAACTATCAACTGTTTTGTCTTACAGATGGACGAATAAATTATTTGTAACTCCTAGTCGTTTGATGATGCTAACTGGTGCTGCACTGTTAGGTACATGTGGTTTTATTGCTGGTATAGTAGGGGTCCTGCATTGGAGAGATAAGGTATGGTAAAGATTTTTGAACGTAATTCACTCAAATTTTATATCATGACAGTGTAGATTTTGAACTTTGAAAAACTGGCTGTTATTAAAAAATGTACAATGATTTTCATCTTACAAAGAGCCCTTTGTTGCTGAGTGGTGAACTTCATTGACTTGGAACCATTTGCTTGTCACCACTGTGGGTTTGGATCCCACTTGTAACTTTGGATTTTTTTTTTCATTTAAGGAAGCTATCTATCTAGCTAACTAACAATGTTGGTGGTGGTTATACTCGGGTGCATGCTTGTGGTTGAATACTACACACAGAGACACCTGACAGTCCTGATGACTTCCTTTTATAAAACTGTACAGTATAGATGTGATTTAAAAACTAACAAAAAAAAAGAGAAATGTTACCCTACAAGCTTTCATAATCTTATTAATATATTGCTTTGTCATGAGTTGTTATTTTGTACAACCTTATGTATCAAGTACTGTAACAATATTTGACTTTTTGGGAATTATTTTTTGATAAACTTTACAAGGGGCAAAACTATATTTTATGATGATTGGTCCACAAAATAATGAACAGAATATCAGTGTTATTGTTTAAATTGAATACCTCCAAACTGATTCACTGTCTTTAACATACTCATGATTAGTCTTAATTTCATAAGTACCTTGATTGGCCTATCACTGCTATGTTGACTGTATTTCAGATTGAAGATAAAAAGGAGAAAAGACAGGAAGCACAAAAATTCCATTTTGATGCCATGTGAGAGAATCAAGTCTGTGATATATATTAACTCAAGCAATCTCCCAATCTGCATTGTGATACAAAGTACCTCAGCTCTCATTACTTCAGCCAAGCTGAACATTGTGTCTTTGTGTAAATGTCTGTATTAGTGTACATTTATATGTTTCTTTTGTATATGTTTGTGTAAGTGTGGCACTGATTGTGTGTAAATGTTTGTGTTCATGTACTTAGCATATGTTTATGAGTATATGTTGATATGATTATTTATTATTGCCATTCACAGGGAAAGGTATTTTACTCATTAAGCCTACATTTTAACCATATTAAAGATCTGTTGTATGTACTAAGATTTCTTTCCTTAAAAATATGCATGTTCATTCTGTCTTGCAACCCAAAAAATAAATATTCTGCTCTTTGCTTTGTTTAGAGAGTAAAGAAATTGGTCATTTACTCAATGGGATCCTAAAACAATGTTTATTTTATGAAAATACATGTACATTTAAAATAACAGATAATAACTTGATTTGATTATACTTGTGTAAAAATTTGGTAAGGAAATATATATACCATTCACTTATAAAGTATTCACCATGTTTTGTTTCTTTCCCTATTTCTGTATCATATTTAGATAAAGTATGTTTTAATTTAAACTTTGAGTGAGAAAATAAATGTGAATTTCTGTTTTCCATTATTATACAGAATGTAATGCCAGTGGGTAAAAATGTTTATAAAAGATTTACCTTTACCTGTAATTTTGTAAATGAACTTTCCCAGCTTCCATTTTGAAACAGCCATTGTCAGTTTTAGGGGCATCATGAGGAACATTTAGAAGTTAAGCAGACATTATTAAAGACTCTTAGATATGTAGACGGGATTTAACTGGCTCTATAATGGTGATAAAAAGACTTTATATTATTGTTTGTAGCATTGTAAATGTTAAATCGTGTATGACAGGGAACAAGGAGTATTTTCAGAGGCTCATTATTTGGGAATAAAGGAACACTTCACACATTTGTCGTTATCAGTTTCTCATTGTTTACTTTACTTTTATTATTGATGTTATTGATCAAATATAAATATAATAAAATGGATTAAAACATGAGTTGTTACTTTTTATCTGTCCAGATTGAAGGTGTATGTGACTTTAAGTTTAATAATGATCTACTACCAACTCAAATACATGTATTATATTGCCATCGAAGAACTTTCTAGTGATTTTAGATGTAAATTTAATGTATTTTTAGGGGTAGTTAGTAATGAATGTCATTGGTATAACTTACAATTAGGGACATGGCATTTCAAATGATTGCTGAAGTAGCGTTAATCCTAGATTTAATCAAACCATTATTTTGACTGCACATAATTTTAAGCGGGGGAAGTATAGTCTTTCAGAGAAAAACTTATTAATTATAAGTTGAAATAAATTTACTTCAGCATCCCTGGGATATCACTGATTTGGCACTTTTAACTGTTGAAAATTGAGTACCGCTCATACCGGTGCTGGGGTGGGGGTCTGAGGGATGTTACACTTTTTCATTATCCCTCTCTGTCGAATCGAGTCGGCGACTTTCATGTAATTTTGATGTGATTAATGCTTCTGAGGGATCACGGTACTTCCAGATTTTCATATGTTGACCAGTGACGGATTTATAATTTGGCTGGATATTTTTAAAGAAATAGAATTGACTTTACCTGTGAGGACCTTGGAATGAACTGGTTGTAAGTCAGACAATAAAGAAAACTAGTTACAATTGGTTCGCACCAAATCCTTGATTCCTTAACAAGTTGTAGTGAGAATGTTTTTTAGTGTCTCCACATTTAAAAAGGCCACGTTAAGAACGAATCCAATCGCCAACTGTCAAGTGCTCATTCATTAAAATTTTACTGTTTGTTCTAATGATTGACACACAGCCACATTTTTTAGTTTGACATTATACAAATCATATGAAGGGGACTCCATACGAAGCGCTGTTCTACGAACTCCAGGGTCCACATCCATTTTGGATGAAGGTTTTAGATGGTAGCTTGCAATAACCACTTCCATCCATGAACAGACTGAGTCTGCAACATTTTCAATGTTGCCGTGTTGGGCTTTCTTGAGGGATTCATTTTTTTCTCTCTATTTTGTGCAGTAAAATTTATGTTTTATTGGATTAAATCATAATCCTAATCATCACCCAGATTATGTGATATGTACATGTATTCAGATTTATTTAAACATACTTGTAAGTTTTCTTGAAATTGTAATATTTTACCTTTTTATATTATTTCAACAGGGATATACGTGTACTTCAAACATATGGTCAAATCATATAAAAGATTCATAACCCTGGCACGTATATTTCAAGATTCATCTCCCCTTTGATCTCTTTATAACTTTATTACACATAGCCCTCACTCGTGGCCTATCATCCACATCATGCATGACAAAGTTCATATCTCCAGGTTGGTGACTCCAGCATCTTCATCTTGGCCAAATTGCTTGTGTAGCTTAAGAACAAGCCCGAGTGTGTCTGATATGAGCCGCGTCACGACAAAACCAACCTAATGAGTTTGCGACCAGCGATCCGCGCAGTCTGATCAGGATCCATGCTGTTCGCTTACCAACCCTATTACAAGCAGAGAAACTAATAGCGAACAGCATGGATCCTGATCAGACTGGGCGGATGCGCAGTCTGGTCTGGATCCATGCTGGTTGCAAACGCACTATGTTGGTTTTGTCGTGACACGGCTCATATACTTTGAACAGACTATTTCTGTAGTTACACTTTATAATGGTGTCAAGCAAAGATGAATTTGTGACATATATGGCACAAAACCACAATAATTTTTCACCCCCTCGTGACAAGGGTTACACAAGGTTACTGTGGGATGCAGTTAATTTTCCTAAAGTTACAATATCTGGTGAATACTTTTTTTCACAAACATATTGGTTCATATATTATCAGAATGATAAAGAATATTTTAAACGAAAATAGCTAAAATATATATATATCTGTAGTCAAATCACCAGTACATCACGGTACCTCAAAGGGGTTTTTTAGCTTGAGAAATGGTCTTGTTTATTCAAAGGGGCTTAATTATCATATATCAGTGTATCACCTTCAAAGGGACCTATTAACTAAAAGCTATATGGCAAACTCTTGTTTATTGGTTAAAAACTTTTACATTCCTGATGGTCATAAATCATAGATCACAATTTCATAAAGCACTTTTGAAGAAATATTTTTTTACTCTTATTATTTTCATACAAATGTACTTTTATTTAAAGGTTAAACTTCAATAATGAAATTATATATCCATAGTCAAAAAAATAAAGGTCATATTGTAATTGGGGAATATTAAAATCATAATTATTCATATACTTTTTTTCAGATAGACTATTGTCAGTACATCATCTTCAAAGTGACTTATTAACTTTAGAATTAAAAGCTTAAAGGCAAATTCTTGTTTATTGATATTAAAAAGAATTGTGCTTTTAGGACATATCTAATTTGTGACGCTACTTAATATGAGACGCTTTAATTATTAACAACAAATCTTATCCATTTTATTAATTTGTATTTAATTTTAATTAACATACTCGTAATCTGTTGTTGACAACCGTTTAAATTTAAAAATACATAAAATTAATTGAATACGGATAAATAGTCGCAGACGGGTTTTAGTCATGAATTTTTTCATAGTGACGCAGGCGCTTGCAAATATTGCGGAAAGCGTCTCGAGATGTAAACAAAGATCAAATGTCAAAGTAAATTTTGTATTGGTGAAGAAATGATTACCTGATTACTAAGATAAGATAAGTTTTATTTCAAGTCGGCAAGTTTTCAACATTACAACATAAGCTCTACTGCATGTGACTTCAAAGTCTGAAATAACGAAAAAGAAATAATGGAGGAAGGATCGGCGACCAAAAACCGAAATGGATCGGTTGTCATCGAACAAATTCGAATGAAGAAGTCGTTGACACTGTTCAGTTGTGTGTCGATATTGTGTTCCGTAACTGGGCACATAGCTGTTTTTGTTGCACCGACAGCTATATTGCAATACACCGGTTCTATAGGATTATCTTTATTGATATGGATTTTTGGGGGAGTGATGAATCTTTTTCTAGCTCTTTGTTTCACGGAATTAGCAACAATGTTTCCAAAAGCAGGCGGTCCCTACTTTTTTATTCTGAAAGTATTTGGGCCGTTTGCTGGTTTTATGATAATGTGGGGTTATGTTTTGCTGATTACGGGACCCTTTTGGGCGTTTCTGTCGTATTGTGCATCACTTTATATTTTGCAGCCTTTCTTTTTCAAATGCGACCCACCTGATGCGGCAGTGAAATTGTTTGCTTTCTGGATTCTTCGTGAGTTTTCTTATGTTTATAGTTATTCTTATATGAGCTTATTTCATGCTTAATTTACAATAATATATGGTTTTTCAATGATGTGAAGTAAAATCTATGCCTATGTAGTTCACCAGCCAATATTGTAATCCCACCTCCTGTCCAGACAGTGTTGGGATCCCTTATAAATTAATATTCCATCTGTCCCCGCACTGCCGGTCCAGTGCAGTGGTTTTGCTGTGTCATCAAAACAGTCGATGACAATAATCTACAACTTTCACAATTTGCATTGCTAGTGCATTTGTTTAATGGCGGGAATTTTATTACATTGTTGTCCCCACAGGACGCTGCTTCACTGTAATTCAAAGTCCTTTGGATGGGAGCCTAAGTTGATGTTATTTACGTGAAAATGTGCTGTCGTGATAATTTTGAATTTAAACATAGTATATTCCTTTTGCAATGAAAAAAGTAACATTTCCATTTAACCAATAAAACTATGAGTTAGTTTGGGAATATTTGAATGCCAATGGGACTGTGCAAGTTAATTGATATCATATAGCTAATAGTAAGAATAAAAGTACAGAAAAGAATATGTTATACCAACTTATGGAGAATGGCCTTCATAAGTTTAACATTCACAGTAACAATGGATGTACGTATACTTGCAGCAGAGCTCCAGATAATTTTTTTGGCCAAGGGGTTTTTACCCCTCAAAATTTAGAGTGAGGGGTAAAATGTAAAATCTGAAAAACTTAAGGGGTAAAATCTGTCAAAAAAGCAGTTTGCATTTTTAAACTTATTGTTTTTGTTTGTTTGTTTATTTTTTCTTTTTTTAGAAAAACCTTTAAAAATAAAA